TAGTGGATGTATTAGTGGTAGTGGTGGTTGTATTAGTAGTGGTGGTTGTATTAGTGGTGGTGGTTGTATTAGTGGTAGTGGTGGTGGTTGTATTAGTAGTGGTGGTTGTATTAGTGGTAGTGGTGGTGGGTGTATTAGTGGTAGTAGTTGTATTAGTAGTGGTAGTTGTATTAGTGGTAGTGGTGGTGGTTGTATTAGTGGTAGTGGTGGTGGTTGTATTAGTGGTAGTGGTGGTAGTTGTATTAGTGGTAGTGGTTGTATTAGTAGTGGTAGTTGTATTAGTGGTAGTGGTTGTATTAGTGGTAGTGGTTATATTAGTAGTGGTAGTTGTATTAGTGGTAGTGGTGGTGGGAGTATTAGTGGTAGTAGTTGTATTAGTAGTAGTGGTGGTGGTTGTATCAGTAGTAGTGGTGGTGGTTGTATTAGTGGTAGTGGTGGTGGGTGTGTTATTGGTAGTAGTTGTATTAGTGGTAGTGGTGGTGGGGGTATTAGTAGTAGTAGTTATATTAGTAGTAGTGGTGGTGTATTAGTGGTAGTAGTTGTATTAGTGGTAGTGGTGGTGGTTGTATTAGTGGGAGTAGTGGTGGTGGGTGTATTAGTATTGGTAGTTGTATTAGTAGTGGTAGTTGTATTAGTAGTGGTAGTTGTATTAGTAGTAGCGGCAGTAGTTGTATTAGTGGTAGTGGTGGTGGTTGTATTAGTAGTAGTGGTAGTAGTTGTATTAGTAGTCGTGGTGGTGGGTGTATTAGTAGTAGTGGTGGTGGGTGTGTTAGTGGTAGTGGTGGTGGTTGTATTAGTGGTGATGGTTGTATTTGTGGTAGTGGTGGTGGGTGTATTAGTGGTTGTAATGATATTAGTAGTAGTGGTGGTGGTTGTATTAGTGGTGGTGGTTGTATTAGTGGTAGTGGTGGTTGTATTAGTGGTAGTGGTGGTTGTATTAGTGGTAGTGGTTGTATTAGTGGTGGTGGTTGTATTAGTGGTAGTGGTGGTGGTTGTATTAGTGGTAGTGGTGGTGGTTGTATTAGTAGTAGTGGTAGTGGTTGTATTAGTAGTGGTGGTTGTATTAGTGGTAGTGGTGGTGGGTGTATTAGTGGTAGTGGTTGTATTAGTAGTGGTGGTTGTATTAGTGGTAGTGGTGGTGGTTGTATTAGTGGTAGTGGTGGTTGTATTAGTAGTGGTGGTTGTATTAGTGGTTGTGGTGGTGGTTGAATTAGTGGTAGTGGTGGTGGTTGTATTAGTAGTGGTGGTTGTATTAGTGGTAGTGGTGGTGGGTGTATTAGTGGTAGTAGTTGTATTTGTAGTGGTAGTTGTATTAGTGGTAGTGGTGGTGGTTGTATTAGTGGTAGTAGTGGTGGTTGTATTAGTGGTAGTGGTGGTAGGTGTATTAGTGGTAGTGGGTGTATTAGTGGTAGTGGTTGTATTAGTAGTGGTAGTTGTATTAGTGGTAGTGGTGGTGGGAGTATTAGTGGTAGTAGTTGTATTAGTAGTAGTGGTGGTGGTTGTATTAGTAGTAGTGGTGGTGGTTGTATTAGTGGTAGTGGTGGTGGTTGTATTAGTGGTAGTGGTGGTGGTTGTATTAGTAGTGGTAGTTGTATTAGTGGTAGTGGTGGTGGGTGTATTAGTGGTAGTGGTTGTGGTTGTATTAGTAGTGGTAGTTGTATTAGTGGTAGTGGTGGTGGGTGTGTTATTGGTAGTAGTTGTATTAGTGGTAGTGGTGGTGGGGGTATTAGTAGTAGTATTTGTATTAGTAGTAGTGGTGGTTGTATTAGTGGTAGTAGTTGTATTAGTGGTAGTGGTGGTGGTTGTATTAGTGGTAGTAGTGGTGGTGGGTGTATTAGTAATGGTAGTTGTATTAGTAGTGGTAGTTGTGTTAGTAGTAGTAGTTGTATTAGTAGTAGTGGTAGTAGTTGTATTAGTGGTAGTGGTGGTGGTTGTATTAGTAGTAGTGGTAGTAGTTGTATTAGTAGTCGTGGTGGTGGGTGTATTAGTAGTAGTGGTGGTGGGTGTGTTAGTGGTAGTGGTGGTGGTTGTATTAGTGGTGATGGTTGTATTAGTGGTAGTGGTGGTGGGTGTATTAGTGGTAGTAATGATATTAGTAGTAGTGGTGGTGGTTGTATTAGTGGTGGTGGTTGTATTAGTGGTAGTGGTTGTATTAGTGGTAGTGGTGGTTGTATTAGTGGTTGTATTAGTGGTGGTGGTTGTATTAGTGGTGGTGGTTGTATTAGTGTTAGTAGTGTTGGGTGTATTAGTGATAGTAGCTGTATTTTTAGTAGTGGTGGTGGTTGTATTAGTGGTAGTGGGTGTATTAGTAGTAGTGGTGGTGGTTGTATTAGTGGTAGTGGTTGTATTAGTAGTGGTGGTTGTATTAGTGGTAGTGGTGGTGGTTGTATTAGTAGTGGTGGTTGTATTAGTGGTAAAGGTGGTTGTATTAGTGGTAGTGGTGGTGGTTGTATTAGTGGTAGTGGTGGTGGTTGTATTAGTGGTAGTGGTGGTGGTTGTATTAGTGGTAGTGGTGGTTGTATTAGTGGTAGTGGTGGTGGTTGTATTAGTGGTAGTGGTGGTGGTTGTATTAGTAGTAGTGGTTGTATTAGTAGTGGTGGTTGTATTAGTGGTAGTGGTGGTGGGTGTATTAGTGGTAGTGGTTGTATTAGTAGTGGTGGTTGTATTAGTGGTAGTGGTGGTGGTTGTATTAGTAGTGGTGGTTGTATTAGTGGTAGTGGTGGTGGTTGTATTAGTAGTGGTGGTTGTATTAGTGGTAGTGGTGGTGGGTGTATTAGTGGTAGTGGTTGTATTAGTAGTGGTAGTTGAATTAGTGGTAGTGGTGGTGGTTGTATTAGTGGTAGTGGTGGTGGTTGTATTAGTGGTAGTGGTGGTAGTTGTGTTAGTGGTAGTGGTTGTATTAGTAGTGGTAGTTGTATTAGTGGTAGTTGTATTAGTGGTAGTGGTTGTATTAGTGGTAGTGGTTGTATTAGTAGTGGTAGTTGTATTAGTGGTAATGGTGGTGGGTGTATTAGTGGTAGTAGTTGTATTAGTAGTAGTGGTGGTTGTATTAGTAGTAGTGGTGGTGGTTGTATTAGTGGTAGTGGTGGTGGTTGTATTAGTGGTAGTGGTTGTATTAGTAGTGGTAGTTGTATTAGTGGTAGTGGTGGTGGGTGTATTAGTGGTAGTGGTGGGTGTATTAGTGGTAGTGGTGGTGGTTGTATTAGTAGTGGTAGTTGTATTAGTGGTAGTGGGTGTATTAGTGGCAGTAGTTGTATTAGTAGACGTGGTAGTAGTTGTATTAGTAGAAGTGGTGGTGGTTGTATTAGTGGTAGTGATGGTGGGTGTATTAGTGGTAGTAGTTGTATTAGTAGTAGTGGTGGTGGTTGTATTAGTAGTAGTGGTAGTAGTTGTGTTAGTGGTAGTGGTGGTGGGTGTGTTATTGGTAGTAGTTGTATTAGTGGTAGTGGTGGTGGGGGTATTAGTAGTAGCAGTTGTATTAGTAGTAGTGGTGGTGGTTGTATTAGTGGTAGTAGTTGTATTAGTGGTGGTGGTTGTATTAGTGGTAGTAGTTGTGGTGGGTGTATTAGTAATGGTAGTTGTATTAGTAGTGATAGTTGTATTAGTAGTGGTAGTTGTATTAGTAGTAGTGGTAGTAGTTGTATTAGTGGTAGTGGTGGTGGTTGTATTAGTAGTAGTGGTAGTAGTTGTATTAGTAGTCGTAGTGGTGGGTGTATTAGTAGTAGTGGCGGTGGGTGTGTTAGTGGTAGTGGTGGTGGTTGTATTAGTAGTAGTGGTAGTAGTTGTATTAGTAGTGGTAGTAGTTGTATTAGTAGTAGTGGTAGTGGTTGTATTAGTAGTAGTGGTAGTAGTTGTATTAGTAGTAGTGGTAGTAGTTGTAATAGTGGTAGTGGTGGTGGCTGTATTAGTACTAGTGGTGGTGGTTGTATTAGTGGTAGTGGTGGTGGGTGTATTAGTGGTAGTATTTGTATTAGTAGTAGTGGTGGTGGTTGTATTAGTGGTAGTAGTTGTATTAGTAGTAGTGGTGGTGGTTGTATTAGTGGTAGTAGTGGTGGTGGGTGTATTAGTAATGGTAGTTGTATTAGTAGTGGTAGCTGTATGAGTAGTGGTAGTTGTATTAGTAGTAGTGGCAGTTGTTGTATTAGTGTTAGTGGTGGTGGTTGTATTAGTAGTAGTGGTAGTAGGTGTTTTAGTAGTCGTGGTGGTGGGTGTATTAGTAGTCGTGGTGGTGGGTGTATTAGTAGTAGTGGTGGTGGGTGTGTTAGTGGTGGTGGTTGTATTAGTAGTAGTGGTTGTATTAGTAGTAGTGGTAGTAGTTGTATTGGTAGTAGTGGTAGTAGTTGTATTAGTAGTAGTGGTAGTAGTTGTATTAGTGGTAGTGGTGGTGGGTGTATTAGTAGTAGTGGTGGTGGTTGTATTAGTGGTAGTGGTGGTGGGTGTATTAGTGGTAGTAGTTGTATTAGTAGTAGTGGTGGTGGTTGTATTAGTGGTAGTAGTTGTATTAGTAGTAGTGGTGGTGGTTGTATTAGTGGTAGTAGTTGTATTGGTAGTAGTGGTGGTGGTTGTATTAGTGGTAGTGGTGGTGGGTGTATTAGTGGTAGTGGTGGTGGGTGTATTAGTGGTAGTAGTTGTATTGGTAGTAGTGGTGGTGGTTGTATTAGTGGTATTGGTGGTGGGTGTATTAGTGGTAGTAGTTGTATTAGTAGTAGTGGTGGTGGTTGTATTAGTGGTAGTAGTTGTATTGGTAGTAGTGGTGGTAGTTGTATTAGTGGTAGTAGTTATATTTAGTGGTAGTGGTGGTAGTTGTATTAGTGGTAGTAGTTGTATTTAGTGGTATTGGTGGTAGTTGTATTAGTGGTAGTAGTTGTATTAGTAGTAGTGGTGGTGGTTGTATTAGTGGTAGTAGTTGTATTGGTAGTAGTGGTGGTAGTTGTATTAGTGGTAGTAGTTATATTTAGTGGTAGTGGTGGTGGTTGTATTAGTGGTAGTGGTGGTCACACCTGCTCGTCGATGCACTGGAGGTTTTCAGCGCGAGCCGACCAGAATTCGAGCTCCGCGCGAGGCCCCGGGTGGGCCCCGGCCCTGAGCGCTTGTGCCGAGTCGCTGGCGAGCACGGCGCGGATCTGGCGGCTCCACTCGACCACCGTCGACTCGACCGCGTGCACCACGAGACGGTCGTACGGCTCGGGCCTGGCGCACCCCACCCCCCAGCGACGCCGGCGAGGGAAGGGATGGGTATTGGCGACAAGTTGGAGGGAGTCGCGCGGACGCGGAGAGAGAAAGAGAGAGAGAGGTAGGGGGGTTAATTCGTTCATCACGCCAGACACGTGACCCTCCCCTGACAGCGTTCGCGTGAACTGCTCTTGCTGGCGCACGCCGGTGTCTCGAGTGATGTGTTTGAGGTTGGGGTGGCAGCCCTGCAATTGCCGGCTCACGCCCAGCAGCGATGCCGGCCTATTTGGGATTATATTTGCCCCCCCCCCCCCCGCCTTAGTGTATATATTTAAAAGTGTGCAGGATGGCCAGCAACCGGACAATTAAAGGTTTGTTGTTCGGAAAAATGGAAGGAAGTAGAAAGAGAGAAAGACCCAACAGAGCACTGGTGCCACGACGGAGGAAAGTGGAAACAAATGACGAAATGTTGGAGTGGATACCTACGGGGGCTATCATCATCGTGATGATGAACAAACTCAGTTTCTTAAAGAGCCTTTAATACTGGTAGTCTTTTTATATATATAGATATCTTCCTCTTGCGCATTATAGCCGGATGTTACACACACCGCGGAAATGAGAATGTGCAAAGTGCCGCTTGGGGAAAAGCGAGAGCAGGCAGACTCAGAAATGAGAAGATCGGAGGAACGACAACAACGTCGTCGATCGATGACGAGATGAGAAGCGCGCGACAGAGGTGGCGGGGTGACGTGCCCCGATGTGGAACGTCCCCGTGAACGTGGGACAGACGGAGCTATGCGCGGACGCGCCAGGCGAGAGACCGAGAGGCAAGAACAACGGACGAGAGGGAGAGACGAGCGAAAACTAAACGATCTTTTTATTTCACCGGGTAAGGCCCCACTGGGCTATGTAGCTCTTTATCAAAAGCGACCTGGCCACAAGCGATAGCTCAACGAAGTGGCTTACTGCATGGAAATGTTTTACAAACACTCTAAATGGACGCTGATTTTAAACGTGGAGGCGAACAACCGGAGGACTCGGAGAAAAATCCACGCGACCACGGGTAGAAAGACACGCAAACTCCAAATATACAGCAGCAGGTGTCAGGGTCGGGATCGAACCCATGACCTCTTGTATACCAGGTGTGGTAATTAAGATCTAGCCACTATGGCAGCGCCGGAGACGTTTCTATTCATGCGCGTGTGTGTGTGTGCGTGCGTGTGCGTATGTGTGTGAGTGCGTGTGTGTGCGTGCGTGTGTGCGTATGCGTGTGTGTGCGTATGTGTGTGTGTGCACGCCGGAGGCCGTACTTGTCTGGCATCTTGCGGACGCTGGGGCTGCGCGCTGAGCGCGACCGCTCGGCCAGGCCGGGCAGCGGCAGCAGCGTGCGCCCCTGGGCCTGTCCCCGTGCCGCCAGCGCGTGGCCTCGCATGCCCTCGACGTGCCTCTCCACGTCCTGGGCCACGGCGGCGGGCCACGACGCGTGGTTCTGCTCGTTGGACAGCACGGGCACCACCACCTTGGGGACGGAGAGAATGGGGGGAAGATGTACGCGAGTGTGCGAGTGTACGCATGTTGTTGGGGTGCAGCGGTAGTGTGGCGGGCAGCGCGCTGTGCTAGAACCCGGCGACTCTAGTTCGATTTCCGCTCACGGCCAACACAAGTGACGATTAATTATCTGAAGAGTCCTAGGTCTCCCCCAGGTCGACTCAGCCTCAAATGAGTACCTGGTGCGGTGTGTAAACATCGCCACTAGGAGAGAAAGGTGCTGGCCCTCCACGCCCTCCTGTGCAGTTCCAGCCTTCGTAGGTGCTCGCTAACAGCACTCGCCCCAACAGTATGTTAAAAGATATACAGGGGATCTTTGTCTTTGTGTGTATGTCAAACTTCTTTAGCACCGTACGCAGCCAACCGCCACTCGAAAGCAGCAGAAGGAGAAGCATCAAATTACGTCGCCCCGTGGAAATTCCACCGCTCCGATGACACGCACCGTCCGTGTCATCGGAGGAGGCTTGACTGAGCCTCCTCCACTGTAACAAATCCAGGCTCTAGTGTTTCACGGAGAGGTGCGCGCTCGTACATTATACATTGGACAGAGATAGAGAGAGAAGAGGAGACAGAATGAACATTAATCACTGTGCAGTCATTGGGGGGAGGGGGGGAGGCTTTCCAGGGAGTGTCGCCATTGTGTCGATCCGCTGCCGAGTGAGGTCCCTCAACAGTCGGGGTTCGTCGTTACCATACTCCACCAGCACGCCATACTCCATCAGCACGCCATACTCCATCAGCACGCCTTACTTCACCAGCACGCCTTACCATACTCCACCAGCCCGCCTTACTTCACCAGCACGCCATACTCCACCAGCACGCCTTACCATACTCCACCAGCACGCCTTACTTCACCAGCACGCCTTACCATACTCCACCAGCACGCCTTACTTCACCAGCACGCCATACTCCACCAGCACGCCCTTACCACACTTCACCAGCACGCCTTACCATACTTCACCAGCACGCCATACTCCACCAGCACGCCATACTCCACCAGCACGCCTTACCATACTTCACCAGCACGCCTTACCATACTTCACCAGGACGCCTTACTTCACCAGCACGCCATACTCCACCAGCACGCCTTACCATACTTCACCAGCACGCCTGTAAGTTGCGAGCGGGTGAAGACGGAGAGTTTTGGAGATTCTCCCAACGTGGTATGGGCAGCCTAAAGCAGCTGGTTTTTAGTTTGCACACCTCTTGATGATGATGATGGAGTGGTCGTTTTAAACTTGATATGATGGTGACCATCATCATAATCATCAGTCATGATCAATCCACTGCTGGATGATGGCCTCCCCAAGCCACCACTAACTCTCACGATACAGCGTTGCACCACTCTACTCAGCATACAGTATATATGTGTATGTTGAACTTCTTTCGCACAGTACGTAACCACACGTGCTAATCGGAGGTGCGTGGAAGGAAAGACAACAAACACAAAAATCAGTTCTAAAGAAGTGAGTTATCAATGTAGATGATGGCTTCCTAATATCGGAAGGAAGAGCATTACAGACGGCCGCAGAAGCGCACCGATGATGGTGATGATGATCACGATGACGATGAATCCTATTTACAGAATTGGGAAAATTCACCAATCCCCTCCCCTTCCTCAAGAAACATCATCAACCTCAATGTCACTAATTATTTAAACGTAAGAAAAACTATGTTAATGGTGGGCAATTGTATTTCTGAAGTTAGAAATAATACCACCTGTTACTTATTTTTTTTAAAAACAGACTCGCAACATTGCATGCTGAAATGAATCCAAACATTAACAATGTTTAATTTCACCAGGTAAGGCCCACCGAGCTGTACAGCTCTCTTTCAGAAGTGACCTGGCTGCCGCAAATGATAGCTCAACGAAGTGGCTTATCGTGCGCGAGTTTAGAGCAGCCAAATGCTCTGAACGCACGTTTCTAAATGTGGAGGGGAAACACCAGAGGAAAATCCACGCGACCACGGGGGAGAGAGAGAGAGACACGCAAACTCCAAATATACATGGCGTTAGGGGGTCGGGATCGAACCCACGGTCCTGCCCCTGCGTGCCAGGGTGAGGCAAGGCAAACATCTCACCACCACTGCGGCGACCCCAAATGGTTATCTGCAATACAGGTTTGTTGGGTTAGATCACGTAACTATATAAATGTGTCGTTAAACCCGCCACCACCCGACACAGCCAACTAGTAAGGCGTGTCACGTAAACAGAACGTGACAATCCCTTACTAGTACAGTGCACCGTGTGTTGGAAGAGCAAATCCACAACATTTACAATCTGAGCACGACGATTCGCCGGCAATTACAACCGGCATCATCAGGCAGACAGATTTGCGGCGAAATCCTCCGGTTGGCCACGTGACCAAAGTGCGATGGAGAAGCCGGGCGGAGCTGACGAGGTTGTCTTCGGCGCTCGGCACCCGTGCGCACACACTGGTCAACAGCGAGCGAGCGCCCGCCTCGACCCTATGGGCAAACAACCAAACGACGGCCGCTCTTATTTGAACAGGAGGCCGGACGGGCTCGCGGAACGAGACCTCGGTGAGAAATCGTGGTTTTTTTGTTGTTGTTGCTCAACCCCAAGCGGTGAGAGCAAACAACGGACCCCCCCTCCCCCAAAGCAGTGTGCAGCGAGCGTCGCCGTGCGCTGCGCACGGGCGTGGCGCTGGCCACCCCCACGCCGTTCGTGTGCCCGTGCCGGGCCTTCATCGGTGCTACTCGCTCACAGCACTTGGCCCCCAAGAGTCTGTTGGGGGCTATACGGTGTTGGGAGGCGGTGGCGCAGTGGTAGGCGCGCTGCGCTACGAACCCGGCGACCCGAGTTCGATTGCAGCTCACGGCCACCAACACCCGGTGACGATTATCTGAACCGGTTTCCGGGGCCTCCCCTAGGTCGACTCGGCCTCAAATGAGTACCCGGCACAGTGTGTAAACATCGCCGCTGCGGGGACAAAGGCGGCCGGGCGTGGTGCTGGCGACCCAACCCCCTCCCCTCTCGTGTGTCGTGGCCGGCCATCACAGCACTTGACTCCACAGTTTGTTGCAAGCTATTCGAGGCAATCCTCGTATTAGGTCTTTGTCTTGTCTTCACCCGACGGGTGGCTAGGATTCCTTCGACAGCTGGACCCATCGGCCCAGGTCGGGGTGTATAAAACATCAGTTCTGAGTGAAAATGATTCAACAACACATTTTTTTTTTACAGAGGAAAGAAGCTCCGTCTTCTTTCAATAGAGGCGCATGCACAATACACAAAGTTGCTTACCCCATCAATGTCACTTGATAGGGTATAGAAGCCCTTGTAGATTGGCAATGGGGCATGGCGAGCAAGCGTTCTGGGTGTGATCGGGAAGAGCAGGCGGTTGTGATGGGCGGCACGCGTGTGCAGGATGGCGTGGGAGTGGGGGGGGGGGGGGCAGCAAACACGGGGAAGAGAAGACCTAAAGCCCTACGGTGGCAGAGTCGGCGACGATGTTGATGATGATTTGACTGTAAGAGCGGCCTTCGGAGGACGCGTCGCGTCAACCGTGCAACAAGAGGAAGAACGTGGACGTCGGGCGTCGACTGACCGTGCATCGGCCACGAGATTCTGCAAGGAGGGAACGAAGCGGTGGCGAGGGGGGTGTGCGATATCACCGTCGTCATTGTCCTTGGCGACCTCTTGACCTTGCCCTTATAAATAATTACAAATTAGGCACAACGACGCGGAGCAGCATTAGCCTTGCCCGGGAATCGCACCCACCGGGTGTAACTCAACACAGCAGCGACGCCCACCACCTGCGATCCCACGAGGACCCGGCTCACGCCGCCGTGCGCTGCTCTCAGCCCCTTGTTATGCCTCTCCCTTCTCCTCTCACACAACCGCCGTGGGGACAATTAACCCTTCGCCCTTCCGATGACGTACGTGTACATCATCAGTTTTTCATCCGATTCCGTTCCGATGACCTACGTGTACATCATCAGTTGGTGCCAGCTATGTCATAGAGTGCGGCCGTGTCGCTACAGTTCTCTACGGTGAGTAACAATATTTTTCAATACAACGGCTACTATTACTACGCCTCTCTAAATACAATTTACACTGAGCCACTTGCGCGTTCCCGGGATTCAGCGGTGAACGGGTACCCCCACCCTGCAAATTGCAGACGTCTCGGAACGGGAAAGGTGTTAAATAAGCCCCTCTGGGTACGTTTAACGCAGTCACCTCCACGTCTGCTCGTGTCACTGCACAATACACGGTGGCGAGCGGAACCTTTTTTTATTAGAATTCATCGTGCCGTACTCTCTTGCGATTGCCGTAGGTTTTTAAGGTGATGCCGTACAGCTCTCTGCGTCCCTCGAGAAAGCTCCCGGCACGCGGTGTGAAAAGTCGGACATCGTGCCGAACGACGCGCTGTATGACCCGACCGCATGAAGGTCGTAACATGTTTGTAATCTTTTATATATTTTTTTGTTCCTATTGGCAGCCTGCACGTTCTTAGGACGTGACCGTCCATCTGTACATCCCTCCCTCGCTCCCTCCAGCCAGCCAGCAAAGCTGTTTTCTCATATAGTATAATTGTGTATCCCCTGCACTTGCGAGGGATACACGGCCGGGGTGGAGGATGGGTGGAGCGGGGTGACATGCCGTCAAATGTACTTGCCAGGCTCTGTATATTTCTACCACCATTAGCACCCCCTCCCCCGTCCCCCACTACCTTGGCAAACTCAATTGCCCTCGGACAAACAAATCAGCTGGGGGTGGGAGGGGTCCCAACGGCAGAGTCTTGAATACCCAGAGAGAAAGTCAACATCGACCTTCGAATTAGCAGCAGCAGCGGCCGTGCCACCCACGCGTTCGCTTGGCACGGCCGCATCCATCGGTTGGAGGCTCGATTAAGACATCCCGATTAAGACATCCCGATTAAGACATCCCGATTAAGACATCCCGTTTGTAACGTGAGGGGAGCGGGGTGCAGGGCGGCGGGGGGGGTC